ATCTCAGCAAAATGTCTGAAGAGGAGCTCCAGTTTCACTACTTTAAAATGCATGACAACGACAATAATAATAAACTCGATGGCAGTGAACTGATCAAGAGTCTCATCCATTGGCACGGTATGTCTTCGGCCGCGCAATCACTTACCCGTCCCATACCTTTATGCATCAATCGCTACCCACCAGTCCTTATCGTTTTGATAGTTTGGTTAGATTTTTAATTAATTGTTTTTTGTTTGGTTTTTGTTTGTGTAGTGGAGGAGAGCAAGCATTTGGGAGCTCAGGCACCGGCCTCTGGCACCACAAAAATATTTACGGATCAAGAGTTGGAACAAATGATTGATCCCATACTGGATATGGACGACAAGAACAGAGAAATCTCAGCAAAATGTCTGAAGAGGAGCTCCAGTTTCACTACTTTAAAATGCATGACAACGACAATAATAATAAACTCGATGGCAGTGAACTGATCAAGAGTCTCATCCATTGGCACGGTATGTCTTCAGCCGCGCAATCACTTACCCGTCCCATACGCTACCCACCAGTCCTTATTGTTTTGATAGTTTTGTTAGATTTTTAATTAATTGTTTTTTGTTGCACATCACCTCCTCTCGTTCGTAAACCCTCGAGTCCGTGGCCGGAGACCGTGGTGTTTTTATAAATGCCTAGTTCTCAACCTTGTTTACTAACTAGGGTATGACCTATACCTGCTGTTCTTGTCTCTCGGTTATATTGATTATCCAGAGTTTGTGGCCGCGCAGAAGGCCCGCGGCTTTTAGGTGACGGATGACTGGCCAGTGCTGTAAAGATACACTCGTTTGTGATTCAATGAAAGGCGTTCAACAAAACTGATAGGAAATTAACTCATAAACCAATTATTAATGTTTTTTAACTCATTATTTATTTCTGAGATTTATTTAAATTATTATTTAATTATTTTGACTACAATTTCAGGCAAAATATTACTGTTTATCAAACTTATAATTCAGTATTAATTTGTTGTTTTAATCTCAAATTTAAACTATTTTTCTGTACTCCGATTCGTAACAAAATTTAAATCTCTTTTTATGATCTGATTTATTGTCGAGAAATCTATCAAAATGAATTCAAAACAAATAATAATATTTTAAACCTAAAATAATTATAATAACTACAAAACTAATATTAATAATTAAAACTCTTTATTGAACTAAATATTTTATTTACTATTTTAATTCAGGTCTTTTATTTTACATAAAAATGGATATTAAATGTCAAACAAAAGTTCCATAAATTAATTTTATAATAAAATACTTTTAAAGCAATTTAAAACAAAAATAATACATTTAATTTGTGAATATTAAATATGCAAATGTTGTGAAATATGGTTTGAAAATCATTTCATTTGCGACACAATTAGTAAACCAATTCAATCATACAATGTTTTCCTCCAGTAAAATGACTTGTTATCGCATTTACTGTATTCCCATAACTGGTTGCAAAAGTTCCCATAACTTATGGTCCATAAGTTTGTGCGAAAACCCATAATATAGTGGTTTATTTGTACTGTTACAGTAAGTGAGTACATTGCTGTACATTGTACAGTATACGACCAACCATTCATTGATGTTTGACATTCAATATTTGAATCTAGAATTTATGTTTATTTGAGTGCAAAAAGTGCTTAATATTAATACATTTATTTCTAACATTTAGTGCAATTTGCAACTAAAACCATATATAACTGAATAAATTAGCTATAAATTAGCTGACAATAGTTGACAACAATTAACACTCATTTGAGTTTAACTCTATTGAAATGTCCGAAAGCCGAGAGTTTGATATCGTACTGTTCGGCGCCACAGGTTTTACCGGTCAGTTCGTTGTCGAAGAGTTGGCCCGAAGTGCACAACAAGAGTCCATCAAATGGGCGATCAGTGGAAGGAGTCGTGAGAAGTTGGCTAAAGTGTTGACCACTGCGAGCGCAGAGACTGGTATAGATGTGACAAACATTCCCACCATTGAAGCCGATGTCCAGTCGGAAGAGTCTCTGCGAGCGATGACCGCACGGACACGACTTGTGTTGAATACTGTCGGCCCGTTTCGGTTCTTCGGGGAACCAATTATCAAAGCGTGCGTCGAGACGGCTACTAATCAACTGGACATCAGCGGTGAACCGCAGTATATGGAGTCAATGCAACTGAAATACAATAAGATTGCGCACCAAAAGGGTATATACATTGCCGGTGCCTGCGGTTGGGGTTGTGTTGTCTGTGATTTAGGCGTTCAGTTCCTTAAGAAACACTTCAATGGAGAACTCAATTCTGTGGAAACGTTTCTCACTGTTAAGACCGGACCTAAAGTAATGTAAATTTTTCTTATTAATAAATAGTTTCTAAAACTACTATTCATTAATTAAAATTACTAATATAGGGATTGAGTACAAACTACGGCACGTGGCAGTCGGCCATTCATGGCTTCGCAACCAAACATGAATTGAAAGATCTTCGGCGCCAACTCTATCGGGAAGTGTTTACTAAACCGCGACCGCAACCGAAGTTTCCATTGCAGCGAAAGTAATATTTATTTAACAGAATTAACACTTTTATATTAAATTAAATAAATTTAATTACTCGACAGAACTATACCATTCAGTTCGGAGTACACGAGCGACTGGTGTGTGCCGTTTCCAGAGGCCGACCGGTCTGTCGTTCAGCGAACACAACAATACAAATACGAGAAACACAATGAAAGGCCGACACAACTCGAGACCTACTATACTATCGATAATACGTTCAGTCTATTGAGCTTTATCTTAATGGCCGTTATATTTCAAATTTTGGTGGCTTTCCGTTGGGGACAATCACTCCTCGAAGACTATCCGTCCGTTTTCTCGTTCGGCGAAATTACAAAGTCTGGTCCGACACGCGAGCAGATTATGGCCACAACTTTTAAGACACTTATTGTAGGTAAAGGTTGGAACGAGAAGTTGTCCGAACCCACCGACCAGCCCAATGAGGCGCCCAATAAGACTGTTATGGTTGAAGTGACCGGTTTTGATCCGGGATATCGGGCCACCAGTACTTGTTTAGTACAATCGGGCATTACTTTAATCAAAGAATTTGATAAATTTCCAGAAAAGTAAATTTATTATGAAATTTGTTGGTTTAATGATTTGAAATTAATGTTGTTGTATATATCAGGGGCGGTGTGTTTACTCCCGGAGCTCTATTTGAAAGCACAGGCCTTATAAAGCGACTTAAGGCACACGATCTCAATATTACTTTGGTTAACAATTAGAGACCTCTAATAGTGTGTTGTGTTGGACTCGTATTTGGTTAATATTAATTTGTTAATAATGCAAAAGTTATATTGTATTTAAGCATTTTAATTGATTTTATACTCATTTATTGTGACGACTTTTTTAAAAGCTTTAATTAAATTTTAATTACTATTATTAAAATATTTCATTATTATATTAATGTTTATAACTAAGGCTTCTAAATTTCGGGAATTCCCGAAGAAAAATAGTTAACAAAATCATCGGGAATTGCATACCATTAACTTTAGGGGTCATAATAGGTATCGTATTGTGAAGACAGGGGTAACAATGGCTACCGCGTGGTAGAGCGCTGGATGTAGCCGCGGGAACCAATCCCTGGTCACGATACTTGAGCCTTCACGGCGTGAGTCCAGTCCTAAGTCCTTGCGGGGCCCTCAGGGCAGTCCCAGGTCACAGCACGGGGTGACCGAGACTAATAACCAACGAGAGGTTATAGACACAGTAGACAACGTGTTACAGACAACGTGTTTATTACAAAGGCAAAGACAGGACTACCACGAGCACAGGTAAGGCGTGCTCCTTATATACAGTGAGTACAGGTATGAGGTGAGCATAGCGTGAGTGAGGCTCAGGGTTAGGGAGATAACAGGTAGTGAGTATGTGCTCAGTGAGTCACAATACTATATAGGCCTAAAATATATAAGTTTTATTTTCCCGATTTTTCCCGATTTTGGCAATTTTTGAGGAAATTCCCGATTTTGGTATATTGTCCCGAAAAGCCTCTATTTTATTAAAAATTGCCCGAAAATTTACTTTTTTAACAAAAAATCTTTAAAAATATGGATTTTCTCTGAATTTGCTGACATAATATCAAAACTTGTTGCACAGTTTACATAATTTGTGATAAATTTATTGTATATAAGAGTAAAATACATAAAACATGGCATATTTACATGATTATTAATTATTTTTGTCTCAATAAATGCCATTATTTTGCTTCATTAGTGCACATAAACCTTTTAAAAATCACTTAAATACATGATTATTATGTGAAAATCCAATAAAAACGTAATTCCCGAATTTTCCCGATTTTGGGCATGTATACTCCCGAATTTATATGTTTTTATTCCCGAAAAATATAAGCTCTATTTATAACATATGAATAAATGCGAAAAAATTAAACTTAATAATTTAATCAAACAATGATAAAATAGTCTCTAAATTACTTTTACATAAAATGAATTTTATTATCAAATAAAAGTTTCTCATAAATCATTGTTTGCTATAAAAATATCATTTAAATATTATTACACAGAATTGTTATAAAATTTTAGTAAAATAATAATCAAAAAATTTAACGAAATTGTATTTTAACGGTAATACTTTAAATGCATATTAAATGTGCAAACAAAACAATTTAAATTTTAAATGTTTGACACATACTGTTTGTCACAAAATGTGTTATTTGAAAATCATTTCATTTACAACACAATCAGTGAATTCAGTTTTAACTCAAAAATAGAAATTAAAATAATATTATTTTTGCAATGTTTTCCTCAAAAATCAACTCATATAACGATAAATCGTAAATATTTGTTGAAATATCTGTGAAATATAAAAATTATATAACAGTAACTGTAATATATTTTCAGTGTATAATTTTTTTGTATGAAAATAAATGTCCTTGATAAGGCTTATCCTAGAATATTCTATAGGCTTCTATGGGTGAAATGAACTAAAAAAGCCATGATAACATTTGCATGTACATTGTAGCCCATTTGCAAAGTGCATTAATCGTACATATCTATTAGCTTCTCAATGAGACCACACCTAACATCACATCACAATAATCCTGTCATCGGATGAGTTGTCAGACAATTTTGAATCAAACTTTGCATTTAAATTGAGCCGCAAATAGAGTTAGAGATCGCTATGACTACAGACATAAACAATGAAAAACATGTTTTCCACCACTTTTTGACAATCTATTCAATAGACTCTTTCAATGCAGTTGTTTATTGAGTGTCAGTTCGTGTAGTGATTGCTTACAACACTTCTCAGCGCTTTATTTTCAGCACTCATTGGTTTTAATTATTGAAACAATTATTTTAATTTATTGAACAAATATTAATCATGTAAGTCATAAAAAGCAAATACTTACATTTAACTAATTAATCACTATTAACAATATGGCTGCAACCATATTTATTTACCATTATTTGTCATTTACATTGATTTATAGTTAACAATTTAGTTATAGTTAAAATATTACATGCTATATAAATTAATATTTATTAATTATGAACAATCAATATATAATTAGTGGTATTCATTCTCAGGCAACACATCTCTCGCATAGTATAATAATGTGTTGGTATTCATTGAGATTAATGATTGTCATTAAATTTACTGTTAAGGCATAAAATTAATTAATTAAATAAATATTAATTATAAATGTTATGTAATTAGCATTGCATTTTTAGAATTAATTAATTTGTAGATACAGTAAACGATCATGTTAAAATTAATGTCGTGTTTTTAACTTGTATTTAAATACAATTGTAAATTAATTTAATAGCGAATAATTGACTTATTAAATTAACTAATCATGTTGATAATCCCGTAAACTGTTTTACAAGTTTGATAACTATAACTGCTATTGGCATAAAATATTACAAATAATATAAATAACATTAAAATGACATTATATTATGTAAAACATTGATTTAGTAGTGATTTAAATGCATTGTCATTTAATTGACTAAAATGTTAATTAAATGTTTAATTAAATATGCTTTTCTATTAAATGAATTAATATTGCAAAAGTACACTAAAAAAGTACTTACACTTTACTGGTAACTCTCAATTAGACCTTGATACATCTTTCTATTCAATTATTTATAAATGTATGTTAAAAATGCCTTAAATTTACAAATATTTAAATTTTAAATATGTTTTCTATAGTAATAAATGCTTTTTTATTTTAATTCAATCGATGTATAAGTAGATGAATATATAATAATTTGCTGAATACAGTAAATACTTTATATTTAATATAAAACTTTATTTTATTAATAGGTTTTTTTATATAACCGATAAGAATATTACTTATTATTTGTTACAATTTGTAAAAAAGTTGATTTACAAACTATTTGATAGACACATTGATTTGAATTTAGATTCACATTGAGATGTCTGAAAGCCGAGAGTTTGATATCGTATTGTTCGGCGCCACAGGTTTTACCGGTCAGTTCGTTGTCGAAGAGTTGGCCCGAAGTGCACAACAAGAGTCCATCAAATGGGCGATCAGTGGAAGGAGTCGTGAGAAGTTGGCTAAAGTGTTGATCACTGCGAGCGCCGAGACTGGTATAGACGTGACAAACATTCCCACCATTGAAGCCGATGTCCAGTCGGAAGAGTCTCTGCGGGCAATGACTTCACGGACTCGACTTGTGTTGAATACTGTCGGCCCGTTTCAGTTCTTCGGCGAACAGGTGGTGAAGGCGTGCATTGCGTCGGTGACCAATCATCTGGACATTAGTGGCTCTCAATACTACATGGAGTCAATGCAATTGAAGTATAATAAGGCGGCCCAAGAGAAAGGCATATACATTGCCAGTGCCTGCGGTTGGGATAGTATTCCTGTGATTTAGGCGTTCAGTTCCTTAAGAAGCACTTCAATGGAGAACTCAATTCTGTGGAAACTTTTTTCACGTTGAATACAGGACCTAAAGTATTGCATTTATTAGTTATAATTTATAACTTATATATGTTTTTGTTAACTTTTAACATTTATACATTTATCGGTGATATAGGGATTGGCCACAAATGTCGGTACCTTTCAATCGGCAATTCATGGAATCGCCGACAAAAATAAGCTGAAAGTTATTCGGAGTAAACTCTATCGAGAAATATGCGCTAAACCTCTGCCGCAAACCAAGTTTCCATTGGTTAAAAAGTAACACATTTTATAAAATTAATAATTTATACAAAATTAAACAAATTTGTGAACTCAACAGATCGATGCCATTCCGGTCGGAGTACGTGAGGGGTTGGTGTGTGCCGTTTCCCGGCTGCGATCCGTTTGTTGTTCAACGGACTCAACGTTATAAATACGAGAAATGCAATGAAAGGCCGACACAAATCGAGTCCTACTTAATTGCCGACACTTTCTTTCAACTCATAGGCCTTATAACTCTGGGCGCAGTAATAGCAGTGATGGCGCCCTTCCGTTGGGGCCGATCTCTACTCGAGTCCTATCCGTCGGTCTTCTCGTTCGGCAGATTTACAAAGACTGGTCCGACACGCGAGCAGATAATGGCCGCAACCTTTAGATTACTTATTGTAGGCAAAGGTTGGAGCGAGAAGTTGTCCGAACCCACCGACGAGCCCACGGAGACGCCCAATAAGACTGTTATGGTTGAAGTGACCGGTTTTGATCCGGGATATCGGGCCACCAGTACTTGTTTGGTTCAGTCGGGCATTACGTTAATCAAAGAATTGGATAAATTGCCAGAAAAGTACATTTATTATTTTATTTATAATTAATTTCATTGCATCATGTTATTTAACATGATTAAAAATATTTGTGTTTTCAATTTCAGAGGCGGTGTGTTTACTCCGGGCTTACTATTCGAAGGCACCGGTATTTTCGATCGCCTTAAAGCACACAATCTTAACATTAATTTGGTTAACAAATAATTTATTTGTTTTATCGTTTCTTACATTTAATAATGATTTTCAATGTTTTTATTGAATAATTTTTAATTTAATAAATACAGTATTATTTTTGCGCTTAAATTGAATATTTATTTTAATAAATATATTGGATTTTTAATATGAAATAATATGAAAATATATATTACCGTATAAAACATTTTAAAATTCAAAGATTGTTTCATCTAGATCCGGGACACATTAACTTTTTATCCATAAAGAGTTGCATTAGGCAACCATGTTTATTTAATCATTGTTACCGGGCCAATGACATGTTGACTTGTTTGAAAAATAAACTTAAATTAGTTAAATCTAACATAACCTGAACTAAATTAATGAATAATATTATTAGCAAATTTTACTAATTTTACCAACATTTATTCTTTTCAAACAAGTGTCTATGAACCATTATTACCTATGCACTGTACAGAACAGTTCTTTGTATATTGGGTGCACAGTTTCAAAATACTGTATATAAAGTTATGTTATTATATTAAATGAGATATTGTATGCTATAATACCTTATATTTTCTAAGCTAGAATAAGTTATATAAACACGATACCAAGTGCTTAAATAACAAAACAACCTTCAAATGGGTGCACAGATTCAATGACATTGAATTCAGTATTTCCCACCTCTAAGGAAACTACAGTNGTATTGTTCGGCGCCACAGGTTTTACCGGTCAGTTCGTTGTCGAAGAGTTGGCCCGAAGTGCACAACAAGAGTCCATCAAATGGGCGATCAGTGGAAGGAGTCGTGAGAAGTTGGCTAAAGTGTTGATCACAGCGAGCGCCGAGACTGGTATAGATGTGACAAACATTGCGATCATTGAAGCCGATGTCCAGTCGGAAGAGTCTCTGCGAGCGATGACCGCACGGACACGACTTGTATTGAATACTGTGGGTCCGTATCGGTTCTTCGGGGAACAGGTGGTGAAGGCCTGTGTCGAGACGGCTACGAATCATCTGGACATCAGCGGTGAACCGCAGTATATGGAGTCAATGCAAT